GGGAAGGGAGAAGACGGGTGGAGGAGGACAACGAGCGATGAGGCACGGGAGCCCAATCTACTGATCGTAGCAGACACTAGCAGACGCTGCTCAGCATGAGGGCAGTGGGCTGCGGGAAGGGGGCCCGATACTTACCGATGAAGACCACCGGCTTGAACTGATCGGGGATGTAATCCTCCATGCCAAGGGTGTGCCAATAACGGTCAACGTTCGCCTGAAACCCCTGAATCGCACACCACGTTATCGTGCAGAGCTTCCTGCACCGGATAGGCCACTTTGTGAAGCCGCTGAAAGCGCCGATGAAGCTGTTGGCGAGCTCATTGCTCGAAAAGTTCACGAAAGCATACCCCTTGCTCTGGTGGGTCATGAAATCGACTGGCAGGTAGACATAATCGTATGCTCCTTCGAACCCTTCCCCATTCATCGCATCGATCAACTCATCGCGTGTGACACCGTAGGGCACATTTTTCACGATCAACGTAGTATAGTGCTTGCTATCAGTGGCTGGATGTTGGATGTCAGGATCAGGCCCCTGCCCTGGAGAGGCAAAGGCGCGGCAGAACGCGCCCGTCGTCTGTGGGCAGCTGGGAACGAACACCGCAGCATTGCAAGCCAAAGGCGTAAAGCTTCCGACCTTGCTGCTAAGAGGCGTTCGTGCGCTGGGAGAGGCCGATGCCTGACCACTCTGCTTGCCAGCTGGCGGACTCTCGCACAACTTGCCCTGAAGATCGGCAGGGACAAGCGGAGTATGTGACGACTGCCAACACAAGTAGTGATCGGTCGAGCCGCAGCTGAGTGTATCATCCTCGGACTCCTCGTGTACGACGGCCGGGCCCGTCCGAATACTGAGATTGAGACTGCGACTGGCGTCGCTGCGCGTTTTGTTGTGTTTGAGCCGCGAACCACTGGAACCATCCTCGCGTGAAATGCCCTCGTCCATGTCCTTGCCACGGATGGGAGGGCATGACTGAACTCGACGCATGCCACAGACAGAGGGTGCGAAGGGCTGGTCAATGCAGCTCTCGAACTCGAAGAACGTGTTCTTGATGATCAGGCGAACGTCCGCCATGACCAATGCGGGAGACTGCGTGCATTCGAAAACCATGGTCGAACAAGGATACGTTCGGTCTGCTGCCCGCGTGCAGTGGGAGCCCAAATGTCTTGAGCCAGGGCTACGGGAGCGCTCTTGGGCCATCTTGGAGCGTCTCGGAGCGCTGCTGGAGCTCGCAGGGGCCTGCTACGCCATTTTGGTCCGAATCGTCAAGATTGTACGCGCGAGGCCCTGCATTGTAATATAGACTAGTGTGAGCCCGTGGGAAATCCACTGCAGGGTTCGAAACCAGCGGCCAGGGTAAAGCCTGGAGCGCTTGAAGGGAGTCAGATTACACATGATGTTCGGAGGGGGGCTCCGAAGTGTCTGCAAGTCCCCCCCCCCGGTCACCCATAACCCGCGGAGTGGATCCAGAGAGGCTGAGCCGGGAGCAGAGGAGGAGAAGGAGGAGGATTACGAGAAGGAGGAGGAGGAGGAGGCGGAGGAGGAAGAAGAGAAGAGAAGAGAGGAAGGAGTACAGGGAGATAGGGGTTCTAGGGCCTTGTTCGGCGAGAGGTGCCGGGGCAGGATACTCTATTGGGAGCGCTTTTGGAAACTCTCGAAGTCTCCTGGGAGGCTCTGGGGCTTCTGAGAGTGGTCTGGGGCCTTCCTTGGGTTCTGGGGCTTCCTTTGGGGCTTCTGGGAAACTAAAAGAAACTTCCAAAGGTGCTGGGACTGGAGGCTGTCCTCGAGTGTCCTGGAGGGGTCTGCGCCTTCTCGAAGTGGTAGGGATCTCGTGGTCGAGGGACTGCCTTGGGGGTCACCGGGGTTGCTGCAGGTCCCTCCTGTCACCCCTGATCGGCCTGAGGGAGGGAGCGAGATGCTGGTCCCCGCAGTGTCTGCAAGTACCCCCCCCCCACGTTATCCGTCGTCGGCCGTAAAGGGGGAGCGATCGCAGTGGCTGCAGGTTCCCCCTGTCACCCCTAACAGGCGGAATGGAGGCCCCAGAGCGGCCGGAGCCTCGATGAGGGAAGGAGGAAGAGATCAGAGGAGAAGGTCCCCCCTGTCACCCCTATTCGGCCGCAGAGGGGAGGCCTTGAGGGCGACTCTGGTCCATCTCGGAGTGCTCCTGAAATCGCTCTTGGGAGCTCTGGGGGAACTATTGGAAATTCTTCCTGCGACCGCTCTTGCGAGCTCCGTGGGAACTGTCAGGGTCAATTGGCAGGCCTCGGAGTCTTCTGGGCGACTCCGGGGCATCTCGGAGTGGTCCTGTGACCGCTCTTGGAAGCCCCTTGGGAACTATGGTAGTCTCTTGGGAGGCTCTGGGGCATCTCGGAGTAGTCTGGGGCATGCCTTGGGGGTCTGGGACTTTCTTGGGGGCGTTTTGGGTTCGAGAGGCGGCGAAAGGGTGCCGTGGCTGGAGGAACTCTCCTTGGGAGCTCCTTGTGAACAATCGCAGTCTCTTGGGAGACTCTGGAGCATGTGGGAGTGGTCCTTGGAGGGCTCTTCGCCCATTGGGGGCTGCGGGAAGGGCGTGCTCTGAGCTCCCGTCGGCCGCTCTTCGAGGTCTCTCTGGAGCCTCTCGGGGCCCTCTGGGCCCATTTTCTGGTATTCTTGGGCCGCCTCGGGGGCCTCCGGGGCCGTCATGGGACCATGTTGGGTGTCTCCATGTTTGGGGGCTCGGGCCGTCTTGGAGCGCGCTATGGTGCCTTGTAGGCAGCTCCTGGGGCCCTCGTGGGACTGTCTTGGGGGCCACCAGGGGTTCTATGAGGCTGTCTTGGGCTGCTCTCGGGCAATCTTCGGGCCCTCTGGGGTCGTCTTGGGGCACTTGGCGAGGCCTCCTGGACCGTCTTGGGGCGATCTGGGATTGCCCTGGAGCCGTCCGGGGCCGTTCTTGGCCCGAATTGGCGAGAGCATAGAAAACCTTTGAAACCCAAAGAGAGTTTTGGGCCTCGAGGGACCGTCATTTTGGTCTGGTTCGGCCGCTTTCGGAGGCACCTGGCCCGTCCTCGTGCGCTCTGGACCGGAGAGGGCCGGGGCGCCCCTTTTCGCTCCTTCCACACGAGCATCGACCAGAATCCCACCAGCCCTCTGGGCGTAGGCGGTCTAACGTTATCTTTCTTCCCTCTTCCAAAAGAAACCCCTCTTCCCTTAGGGGAGGGGTGCCCTCCCCCTCACCTCCAAAAGGGGTTTTGGGAGGAGGTCGCGGGTCGTTAGAAGATTTCTGGTTTCGCCCAAGATGGCTCCAAGAGGGCCTCCGATGCTCCAGGATGGCCTCCAATATGCTTCAAGATAGCGCAAGGTTGATCAAGATTACCTCCATGATGCCTCCAAGAGGCCCCAAGAGGGCCACAAGACGATTCTAAATGCCCTCGGTGACCCCACCAGGACCTCCCTGAGAAGCCAAAATCCTTCAAGAACCTAAGGAAATGTTATGGCTGTTGTATTATCACCGGTTCGCTGCCGATGCGCCTTTGAGGCCTCAAGATGGTCCCAAGATGGTCCAAGAGAGCGCCAAGAGCGGCCCAGGAGGCAGCCACGACGGCCCCAAGAGCGCCCAAGACCGCCCTAAGAGGGGCCCAAGAGCGCGTCAAGAGGCGGTGTTGAGGGCCCCAGGTGGGGGGGCCTAGATCGGGACCCCCCCTCCTTTGATCGATAGCCTCGAAGATTGCCCCAAAAGGCGCTCCAGAGCTCCCGAGAGAGCCCCAAGAGAGCCCCAAGAGGACCCCAAGAGGGCCCCAAGACGGCCCCAAGAGGGCCCCAAGACCCCCCAAAAGAGCCCGAAGAAGATGGCTCCAAGAGGCGATTTTGAAAGCTCCTGAGGGGAGGGGGGGGGGCGACATCCAGGATCCCTCCTCATTTGATCGATGTTCGATGTCCTCCAAAATGTCCCCAAGATGTCCCCAAGACGCCCCGATGCTCCAAGATAGCCCCCAAAATGGCTCAACGCCCTCCTCCCCCTCCTCTCATGACCCGCTCTGTTTCACTATATGTGCCGCGTCTTTCGATTTCCCGTCAGCTCTCATAGGCAGGGCTTCTGAACTGGCTGGTGGGGAGACACACAAATCGTGAAGAATTGTAGTACAAATGACGTTCGGCTCCAAAATTATTTCAATCATGTCGCGGAGCAGCGACGGTGACTGCCGCCTCTGCTCGACCTTCTCGCACGCGCTGATCCCAACGCTGTAGCGAATCACGTCGGTTGACTCAGGCATTTCGCTTAGAAGCGGCAGCGCCCGTTGCCACTGCATGCCTTTTCCACATACGCTGACAGGCGGAACGTAGTGACCAGGGGCCGTTGCTAATTTCAAGACGTAGTTGCAAAGCTTCCCGAAACAATTGCAGCGCTGCGCTCCATTGTCCTGTCCGACCACAGTTCTCGATGGCCACACAGAGGGAAGACACGCTTTTGGTCGACGCCCTCGCTGCGTGTCCGAGACCAAAACCTAAAGAGCTGGTGAGCCAGACTGGCCTGGCCCAAACTAAATTTCAGTCAAAACGGCCCGAACCAATGAGGCGGAGCCAGTGGGGAAAACACACACACACACACAAAAAAAAAAACTGTGGGGAAAAACACACAGACTCTTGTGTGTGTGTGTGTTTTGTGTTTTTCCCCACCGTCAGCAACTTCTTCATCACGACGGCGAAGTGCGAAAATGGCAAGGAGGCTGTCGATTCTCGGAGGAGGGCCACTCGAGACAACGGCGACTCTCCCGCCCGGCCCAGCTCCGCGGAGGAGGAGAAGGGAGGAGGCAGGGAGGGAGGGAGAGGAGGGAGGGAGGGAGGGAGGGAGGAGGGAGGAGAGAGGGAGGAGGGAGGGAGGAGGGAGAGGAGGGAGGAGGGAGGGAGGGAGAGGAGGGAGGAGGGAGGGAGGGAGGGAGGAGAGAGGAGGAGGGAGGGAGGGAGGAGGGCGGGAGGAAGCGGAGGAGGATGAGGAGGACAGGAGGAGCGAGCAGGGAGCAGCGCCCACCATCGCTTCCCAGCGGCCGCCGCGCCCCGGAAGGCTCCTGCCCCTTGGTCGGCTGTCCGGCAGCACAAGGCAGGAGGCCCTCGCTGCGCCGCCCGTCGGCTCTGCTCCCTCGGCCCCCCCCTTCGCGGGGGGAGGGGGGGGGGGGGAAGCGCCGCACGAAGAGGAGGGAGAGGGGGAGAGGAGGAGGAGGAGGAGGAGGAGGAGGAGGAGGAGGAGGAGGAGGAGGAGGAGAAGGAGGAGGAGGAGGAGGAGGAGGAGGAGGAGGAGGAGGAGGAGGAGGAGGAGGGTCCGTATCCATTTTGGCTCAAGATGGTCAGGGGGCCTCTGAGTCAGAACGTAAGCCTACGTTCCACGCTGCCTCTCCTCCAGTTGCTCGCCTCCCTCTGTCCAGATGGCGTGGTGGGCCTCGCAGAAGCAGTGGTGGCAGGAGGATCAGTGGTGGCAGTGCCGCACCGAAGGGTGCCGCGCGTGGAACCAGATGGCGACAAAGAAATGCAAAGGGTGTGGTCTGAAGAAGAGCTGGGCGCAGGTGGTGCAGTCCAGCAAAGCCGAGGTCACCCCACCGTGGGCTCAGCGCACGTCGGCGCTGGACGAGGCGGTCGGCCCCACGACCTCATACGACGGATCGAGCACGGGCCCCACCCTCGACACGAGCACGAAGATCAAGAGTCTCGAGACTTCCCTGGCTGCGCTGCCGCCAGGCGAGGAGTTCCAAGACACACGCAACCTCCTGCAGCGCCAGATCCAGGAGGCCAAGAGGAGCATCACGTTGTCGAAGCCTCTCAGCAGTCAGCTGGTCTCATGCAGGTCGGCGGTGGAGCGAGCCAACAAGCGGCTCATCGAGAACCAGAAGGCGCTGGCCAAGGCGCAGGAGGAGGTGCGCTTGGCGGAGGCCGAGGCCACGATGCGCAAGCAGGAGCTGCAGGAGCTCGAGCAGAAGGCGCTCTCGGTCCAGTCCCCGAACTCGCTGGAGGCCTCCACGCAGTGTCTCACGAGGGTGATCGCGGACATGAAGTCGTCCCCAGCGATCCCTCAGTCTACGCTACAGGCGGCGGAGACGCAGATCATGACGTTGTTGGCTGGGCTCCAGAAGATCGCCTCCGAGGCCAACGCCCAGCTGACGCCTGCGGGGGTGAACGACGAGACGATGGAGCCCGACGAGCAGCTGGCCCAGAGGCGGCGCTTGCGTGGCAAGCAACCCGTCGCGCAGGGAGCGGCGGCCCCTGGGGCAGACGTGCCCGACGCTGCCTTGGGGTTTCAGGCGGCCAGCACGACACCAACAGTGAGCTAGAAGACCCGCCGTCCGTCACGGTGGTGTGCGCCACGGCCAATGTGCGCACGTTGTACCCGAAGCAGGAGATGGCGAGCTACATGAAGGTGGTGGGGGCCACCTTGATGTCAAAGGTAGCCTTATTGGAGGCTCAGTTTCACCATGCAAGAATTCGTTTGATTGGGATTCAAGAAGGACGAAGCAGAACGGAGCAGGTTCGCTCTGGCACCTTTTTCACCATGTTCTGTGCGGCAGCGGATGCGAAGGGCAACTACGGAACGCAGTTGTGGGTGAGCTACGACGTGAAGTTCCGGCTGGATGCCTGGGAAGCTCCATGCTCTCGCATTGTACTGGTGGCGGGTACCATCGCAGCTGATGAGGGCAGGGATCGAGTCCCTCTTCTTGCGGTGGCGGCTCATGCTCCTCACTCGCACACGCCAGCTGAGCAGCGGCAGCGGTTTTGGTCTCTATTGCAAGAGTCGATCATAAAGTGGAGGAATCGATTTCCATCAGCGTATGTGGTCCTTACTATTGATGCGAATGCGAGAGTGGGCTCAGTGAAGTCAAGTGCCTTCGGTCAGGTGGAAGGGGTTCGAGAGAATCTCAACGGCTCCTTCCTGCGCACCATGCTTGAGTCGCAGCGCATGCTGGCCATCAATACCTTTCAGGCAGGTGACTGGACTTGGAAGCCGTTGCGTGGGAAGCCCTCCAGGTTGGACTACATCTGTATCCTGCGGGACCAGTACTCAGAAGCGGTGAAGGCCCGAGTCTCCGACGACATTGATCTGACTCTCGATCAGAGTGTGGACCACCGCGTGGTACTTGCAGAATGTGTCCTACGCGCTGCACCGCATCAGGGCACGGCAGTACAGGTGATTGAGAAGGCTTCGCACATTTTTCAGCCTAGATTCGACCGGCGGCAGCTGGACGATCCGAGATGCCGACGTACATTCAGAGCCAAGATGTGGGAGTATCAGATGGAGGGTCAGGACCCGACCGAGAAACTTGAGCACTTCAACGCATATGTTCGTCAAGCAGCGGTTGCAGCCTTTGGTAACAAACGTGATACTCCCACAAAGCCATGGATTTCAAATCGTACGTGGACGGTCTTGAGGTGGAATGCTCCCCTCCGTCGGCACGTCCATGCGCTTTTTCAGCAGCATCGGCTCCTGCGAATGCGCCTAATATTTCAAGTACTCTTGGCTCAGACGCATGCTCCATACCCATGTGCATCATCATGTAGATATGGGTGGCAGGCGGTGGTGGACTATCAACAAACACATGTCAACATACGTACCATGAATCGTGTTATTGCGTGTGCTATAAAAACGCAACGTGTCCTGAAAGACCTGATCAAGCCCCTGTGCGACATAGACCGCAACATCATGTTAGAGGAGCATGCGACTGAGCTAGACAAGCAAGCCCTCAACGGTAAGTTCGCCAGCACGTTTAAGATTGTTCGCATGTTGTCGAGGGGTGGAGTCCGCGGGAACACTGACGTTCGAATGGACTCTGGAGTTTTGTCTGCATCACCTACCGACCGTGACCTAGCATGGCTGCAACACTACCGCCGAGTATTCAAAGCTGAAGTCAAGAGCCTACATGACATCAACATACCATGTACGAGCTTAGCTACACATACCAACATCTGCATGGCGCCCGAAGCCACCTTCGAGGCTATCCAGAGGCTTGCAAAAAATAAGGGTGTTGGATGTGATGGGATCCCAGCAGAGCTCCTTCAGGCAGGTGATTGGCCCCTAGCTTTACATCTGAACTCGATCGAGCAGTCCGTTATCAAAACTAGGAGTTGGCCACGTCAGTGGACTGGAGGGAAAATGGCATCTCTCTTCAAAGGCAAAGGGGACAACCAGGAGCGTAACGACTATCGGGGTATACTACTCGCCGACCACTCGGGGAAGTCCTTCGTGGGGCGCTTGAAGCGTAGCATCGATACCATCTATAACATTAATATGCCAGCTACCCAGTTTGGGGCGGTTCCTCGTCGGGGGACTGACTACGCTACGCACATTGTTCAGAGCATGATCACGTATGCCGAGAAGCGTGGGTGGTCTGTCTGCGTCGTATTTGTCGACCTTGTCAAGGCATTCGACAGAGTGGTGAGGGAGCTTGTCTTCGGGTTTCCCTCACATGTCCAGCCAGATCGTGCCGGCCGTCTACAGTATCTTGAGTCCCTTGACCTCGGGGAGCATGTAGCACAGCAGATTTTGCAGCAGATAGAGGAGAGGGGGCCACTACTTGACCAGTGGGGCGTAGATCCTAGCGTGCGTGAGCTGTTGTGTTCTCTGCATGCAAATTCGTGGTTCAGTATAGGGTCTCTCGAGGAAGTAGTCTGTTCACGGCTGGGGGGGCGCCAGGGGTGTAAAGTAGGAGCGATGGTTTTCAACGCGGTATATTCCATTGCATTGCACTCCTTGCAGGCCCGTCTCAGGCGTGAAGGTTTAAGTTTGGAGCTGGACGCCCCTGAGGGCGAGTTTTGGTCGGATCGATTTGCAAAGTATGAACGCACCTGTAGCATCAGTGATTGTGCGTTTGTAGATGATGAATGTATCATGCTTGTGTGTAGCACAGCCCAGAGATTGAGTGAAAGCATTCCTAGGATGTTGAGCGCTCTGGTCGAGACCTTCTCTTCACTCAATCTCGAGATTAATTGGTCCCGCGGGAAGACCGAGGCGCTAGTTCAGTTCCGTGGGAACAAGAGTAGAGCGGTTTTTGAGTCACACCTCTTTGAAGGTTCCTTGTCGTTTCCAGTGCCAGGCAGTGATCGACGTTTGTTAGTGGTTAACAAGTATAAGCACCTAGGCTCGCAGCTCTCTCTCAGCATGAATGGTATGGTGGACGCCCGCCATAAAGAACGATCTATGCTTGCAGCGTACTCCCCGCTGGCCTCGAGAGTGTTCGGATCGCCGGTCATTCATGACTGGGTAAAACTTCATTTAATGCAGGCCTTGTTGTGTACACGATTGTTTTTCAACGCTCACATAATAGTGCCAAGCCGTCAGTATATTAGAACATTGAATGCTGCGATGATGCGTCCCCTGAGGAAGATCTTCGGGGAGCCAAGGTACCAGCGAGTAGAGAATCGTGACCGTGACGTGCGTGAGCAGATGAGCATGCCGTCAGTTGATTGCCTGTTGCAACGTGCCCGACTTGTGTATCTCAGACGTTTGATGCTGCACGGGCCAGAGGAGCTCCACGCTTTGCTACATGTGCAGATTAAGAATGAGCCTCTTCCGTGGACACGTCTGATCCTAGGTGACCTGACGATGTTGCATGATAAAGTCCTTCGGAATTCCAAGTTTTTTCTTCCTGGGCCCAAGGAAAACCCGAGGGCCTGGAGCGATTTTATCCGTGACGCTGGCTCCTTGTGGAGCCCGCTGGTCCAAAAATTGTTCTATAGTGACTCGGTGGCCGACACGGCCCCTGATGCTGCCTCTCCCTCTTCCTCGCGTCCTTACGTGTGTGAGGTGTGTCGTGGCGTTGGTGTGACTCCCCTCCCCTCTTTCGCCACCCGTCAGGCCCTGTTGTCGCATCAGATGCGCAAACACGGGTTTCGCAACTCCGCACGCAAGTATGTTGGCGCAGATGCCAGCTGTCCCGTGTGCCAGCAGAAATTCGGATCCCGATGGCGTGCTGTAGTTCATTTAACTAAGTATCCCCCTGGCGCTGACCCCAGACGGATACCCTGCAGTAGTAAATTTGAGGAGCACCCCCCCCTTCCAGAAGATGAGGTGGAGAGGTTGGACGCTCAAATGCGCGCTGAG